TTTCCGCTGCGGTCGCTATTGCTGCTCCTGCCGCTGAGACAGCAGCGGCGGCCTTCCCGCAGCAACAGCGACAGCGTCAGGGCAGTTGCAGCCCCAAGAGAGGGCGTGGTGGTGGTGGCGGCGATAGTGGTTCTGACGAAGGAGCTGGGGCAGGCGTCCAGGAGCAGCAGCACTCGCAGCAGCAGTAGCAGCAGCAGCAGCAGCCGCAGCAGCTGTGGGCCCGCCTCCCGCCAGGGTGGCCGGGAGCACCTGGAGGGGGTGGCCGAGGTGGCGGTCCTCGCAGCTCGGTGTCTACCAGCAGCTTCGGTGCTGTGGCCTGCCATACCAGCTCCAGACCGGTCCCCTTCGTGGCACTGTGTAGCCACCGTCCGCAACCAACCGCTCGCTGCTTCCGCCGCCTCGACGAGCCCTTTTGTCGCCGCTTCGGCCCGGCCCCAGACCTCCCTGATTGACCCAGTCTGCTTCGCCACGGTGTGACTGTTTTTGACCTAGACATGGATCAGCTTTGTTCTGCCTTGCATTCTCTGTGTGCTGACACTTCTAGTGTGTCCGGATCGTATTACCCTGTGTTCTCTAGCTTAGGCGTAGCAACTGTGTGTAGTACAGACTCCTCTGCTGCATCAGGCATAGGACCGTTTTCTTTTTCTATCCTAGGCTCCACACTCGCTCCTCCTTCGTCTGCGGCTTCTGCTTTCCTGTCCTTCACCCTTGACTCAGGCACATCTGCCTGCTTCTTCTGCGACCACGCCGCACTCACACCGCTTTTCGCGCCTGCCGCTGTCGCCCTTGCTGACCCCTCCTCTGGTCATGTTGTTGCTCGCAGCTACACTACCCTCCCCTGTCCAGCGATCCCCTCGGGCTCCCTTACAGGCCTCCACATCCCCTCGTTCTCCCGAAACTTAGTTGGTGTCGGCTGTCTTTAGGACCTCGGCGTCACCACTATGTTCCCGGGTCACGAGCGGTGCACCGTCTGTACCAAGGCTGCCTCAGGTTTCCCCCTTATGACGTTCCCCTGGGACCCAAAGTCTGGCCTCTTTACGCTAGACACTATTTCCCCACCGGATGGACAGTCCCTCCCGGGTCCTGCGTCTACCCAGGTCGCCGCTACGTGCTCGTGTCAGTCCTCACTCACCCGTCGCCGATGTGGCACCGCCGCCTAGGTCACCCGGCACTCCCGCATCTGCGTCACATATCCCAGCACGGTCTTGTCCAAGGTCTCTCTGCGTCGCTTCCTACCCTCCCTCCCTCGCTTGAGCCGCCGTGCACACCCTGCGTCGAAGGCCGGCTGTGATGTGCTCCTCACTCCTCCTCGCTTCGTCCTGCCACCGCACCCCTTCAGACCCTGCACCTGAACGTCTTGGGCCCAGCCCCCGTCCCCGAACAGTGTCGCGAGCGCTACTTTCTGGTGCTCATGGACGACTACACGCGCTACACCACGGTATTTCCCTTGGAGCGGAAGGTCGACGTGCCAGACGTTCTCATCCTGTGGGTCGTGGCTGCCCGCCTTCACCGTGGTCTCCCGGTGCTGTGTCTCCACTCCGACCGTAGCGGCGACTTCGCCTCTGGTCGGCTTGGACAGTTCTAACGTGCGGAGGGCATCACCCAGTCGTACTCCCTACCGGACTCCTCGCAGCAGAATGGGGTCATTCTAAAAGTGGATTACCAAGTGGTTTGTGCTAGAATACTAGAATGATTGAAAACAAGAGACAATAAGAGAGACATAGTGTTGGGGTTGTACCCACGAAGAACATACACCTATCTAGCCTATAACTTCTACATAACCGCTCACCACCTTAACCTCTGGCCGCGCTCCTAGCGGCCGCAGGTTTCGCCGACCCTTCTTTGGACCGGGTTCCCTGGTGACGCATCCGCGTTCCACGTCTGGGGCTGCCTCGCTCACGTTCGTGCCTCTGGCACGGACAAGCTCATTGCCCGCACTGTCTCCTGCGTCTTCCTCGGTTTCCCCCTGGACTCCTCTGATTGGCACTTTTACCATCCACCGTCTCACCGCTTCTTTCACTCCCGTGACGCGACTTTCAACGAGTCTGTCTCCTTTTACCACCGCTTTCCCCACTGAGGTCTCTCGGTTTCCCCTCCCCTGTTTTTGGTCCCCACCCCCCCGATAGCCCCTGCTCACCTTCCTGCCCATCCTGCCCCATCTGGTGTGTCTCACGTCACTCCCCTCCTAACGGTTGTCCCGGTCGAGGAGTCGGCTGACTCCGGTGGCCCTGCGGCGCCGATCTTGTCGCCCGTCTCTCCCCTGGTGTCTCCTCCCCCGCTGTCGCAGCTGCCACCGCCGCAGCAGCCACCGCCACCGCCGCCGCCGTCACAGCAGCAGCCGCCGTTCGTAACCTCTGGGGGTGCTGGTGTTGAGGAGGGTGCTAGTCTTGGGGTTCCTGTCGTGGCCTGTCCCAGCGGGCTCGAGGGCGGCACCGGTGCTGGAGGGGGTTCTTGCTCTGGGGGGTGCTCGTTGTGGGGATGCTCGGGTGGAGTGTTCCGGAGGTAGCCGCGGTGCAGATGGCGGTCGAGCAGCAGTAGCAGTAGTCGCCGCCAGTGTCCGCCCTTCGCCTTATCGGCCTTTCCTCCCCTGACAGCTCGCCTGTGCCTCCCCCGCCGCCTCCTCCCCTTCGTGTCCTCGGTCATGTGTTTCCTCTGCCAAACTCGTCCGCAGCTCGTTTCCCACCTCGTTCCCCTCCTGTCACTCCTCCTCTGTCTCCTGACCCGACGCCTCCATCTCACGTCTGGCCTCGCCGTCCCTCTCGTGCTCGCCCTATCTCCCCTGTTCCGCGTTCTCGCCCTATGTTGCTTCGTTCCCAGGCGTCTCGTCCTCCCCTCCTGCCTTTGCCTCCTCCGTCCTCGCTCGCTGTCACTCCTCCCCCTCTGTCTGACTACCTTCGTGCTACGCGTCCTCTTGTTCATCGGGTCCTTGCCTCCCTTGTTACCGACCCGTCTGTTCCTCTCTCGCGTCTTGACGCTCTTGTCGCTGCCTTCGCCTCTACCCGTCACCTTGACTACGCCACCACTCTAGTCTCTGACCCTCTCCGTCCTCTGTCCGTCGGGGGTGCTCCTGCCCTTGGCAGTGACGTCCTAGAGGACAGGCAGGACGAGCTTGCTTTCCTGTCTTAGGCTGCTCCCCATCTCTGCTCCATGCTGCTAGTCCCTGAGGGTGACCCAAACGCCTTTCACATCCCGACCCCTTGCACTTACGCTGAGGCGACCTCGGGACCCTGGGCCTCTCAGTGGATAGCTGCCATGGAGTAGGAGATGGCATCTCGGAGGGCTACCGGCACCTCCGTCGACGCAGTTCCCCCACCTGGGGTGAACGTAGTCGATTGCCGATGGCTCTTCGAGGTGAAACGCCCCCCTGAAGAGCCACCTGTGTTCAAGGCGCGCTATGTGGCTAGAGGCTTCAGTCAGCGAGAGGGGGTGGACTTCTTTCAGACCTTCGCCCCGACCCCGATGATGACTACTCTTCGGGCACTGCTACACGTAGCAGCAGAGCGTGACTATGAGCTCCACTCCCTCGACTTCTCCACTACTTTTCTTCAGGGCAGCCTACACGAGCAGGTCTACTTGCGCTGACCGCAGGGCTTCACTGGTACCTTCCCTCCTGGGACCCAGTGGCTCTTTCAACGCCCGGTCTACGTCCTGCAACAGGCGCCCCGTGAGTGGCACAAAGCACTGCATGCTACGCTAGCTGACCTGCAGTTCTTTCCGTCCTCTGCAGACGCTTCGCTCTTCGTTCGTGCTGGCCAGACTCCGCTCTACATCCTTGTCTACGTAGACGACCTGGTCTTCGCTACTACAGACAGAGACGCACTGGCCTCTGTGAAGGCCGAGCTTCTGAGGAGACACACCTGCACTGACCTAGGAGAGCTGCGTCGCTACCTTGGCCTGCAAATCTCCAGGGACAGAGCAGCGCGCACCATCACTCTCACACAGTCACACGTGGTGCGCCAGGTCCTTCAGAGGTTCGGTCTTCAGTTCGCCTCCGCACAGCCCACACCTTTGCCAGTAGATCACAGGCTCTCAGCTCCAATTCCCAAGGAGTCAGTAGAGCCCAGTGGTCCTTTCGCAGAGCTGGTGGGTTGCCTCACGTACCTGATGACTTGCACTCGTCGAGATATCGCATACCCTCTCAGCATCTTGGCTCGTTTTGTGGCCACAGGCAGACACCGACCACCACACTGGTCGGCCGCTAAGAAGGTTTTGCGTTATCTTGCGAGTACATCGCGCATGGGGCTAGTGCTAGGAGGACGTAGGCCAGTGGTCCTTACTGGGCACACAGACGCTTATTGGGCAGACGATGCCGATAACCTCAGGTCCTCCCAGGGCTACTACTTTAGCCTTGGTTCTGGTGCCATCTCGTGGAGGTCCACTCGCTCCTCGTCTGTTGTCCAGTTTTGCTGTGAGGCAGAGATCTACGCCGGTGCCATGGCGGTACAGGAGCTCCGTTGGATGACGTTCTTGCTCGCCGACTTAGGTGAGCAGCCTAGCTCTGCCCCGGTCCTGTACGCTGACAACAGGGCCATGATCCTCCTACCATGTCAGGAGCCTCGACTTGAGGGCAGAGCGAAACACATCCAGCTGCAGTACTTCCTCCTGCACGAGCTACAGCAGCGTCGCCAGGCCCGCGTAGTCCACTTGGCCTCGGGTGCCAACACAACTGATATCTTTACTAAGGCGCTTTCGCCTAAAGATCATCAGCGGCACTGCTTGCAGCTTGGACTAGTTCCTGTAGACTCTCACTTGCTAGGACCTTGATTGTGTACTTCTTTATATTTATACCTTCCAGACTGGCCTTGTGGCTGCTCTTCCAGTGGTCTGACTTGTAGTGCCGCCCTAGTTTGGTCTTGTTCTTGTTTGTACTCTTGCTGACTGGTCTTCGGACCCCTGCCTCAGAGGTTGGACTAGTAGTGCCGCCCTTAGCTGCTTGTTTCTTGCTCAGCACTACCCCTTATCTAGCCTAGGGGATGTCAACTTATACATATGATGTTATGTAGAAGTTATAGGCTAGATAGGTGTATGTTCTTAGTGGGTACAATCCCAACACTATATCTCTCTTGTTCCCTCTTGTTTTCAATCATTCTAGTATTCTAACACAAACCACCTGGTAATCCACTTTTAGTATGTACTTGAAAAACGCCCATCAATTGTATTGCCCGGCTTTCACAACTTGGTTGAGGTTGGAAGGGGGACTTTCTCATGCAAGAATAACGAGGCCCAGATAGACAGCTGCACCTGCTAGAAATAAAGATATGACACCCCTGCAGGCAAGGGAAATCAAAACGAGAGAAGGGAATCGGCGAGAAGCAGGAAGGGCAGAGCACAAAAAAGATAGGAATGAAAAGGAAGTTGTTGAGAATGGATTGGGCAAGCAATATGGCACGTTCTAGCCTCAGAAACACGCATCTCCAACACAATCATTGAGCCCCCTTCCAACACTACCTTCACCATCTGCTCCCCAGCACACCCTCACCATGTGACACTCACCATACAATCCCCTACACACCATTCAACTCATCCACACACGCCTCCCACCGTACAACCCCCACTGGGCCCCACGAGAGGATTTTAAGGCACTTGTCGGATTTCCTGTTCACGCGGAAAATGGCACGCCTTGACCTCACGGGCTCCAACAAGCACAGATCCATGAAGAGGGATCCTAGACCGGAACCCATAAAGTGCCAAAATCTGGGTAACTACCCGCAAAAAGTAGGCCCTGCCCCCCACATGCCACTCCCCACATGACCCCCTAGCACACTGCCTCCACTCACCAGATCACGCCCCAGCAAACGCCGTTGAAGGGACAGGGGCAGGTCTTGGCAAACACCTCAGCATCGCTCGAGTTGACTCTCCGGGAGATGAGGTCGTCGTAAATATCTGTGGCATGCACGTTGGGGGGACGCAGGGATTGACCAAGTAGGGTGGTGAACACCTCAGCACCGTTGCAGTTGACTATCGGGGAGTTGAGGTCATCATAAATATCTGGAGGATGGTGGACCAGGGGTTACGGGGAAGGGTGGGGGAAGAGGTGGGGGGAGGGGAAAGGGGGCTGGGGGGGTAAAATGGCCACTGGCAGACAGGGGAACAGCGGGAGATGAGGGTCTGGGGGCTTGAGATGAGGAGCAGGGGGGAGAAGCTGAGGTATGGCCTGGTTGAGACCTCACGAGGCGGAAAACGAAGGAGTGGCAGAAAGAAACGGGATTCACAGCAGTGTGTGTATCAAAGATAGGCATTCATTCTTATGGAACAACTCCAATCTATCGCATGGGGACCAAACATTTTGGGTGCGCGCACGTACCATAAATAGAGAAGAGGCAGTTCATGATGCCTGCTCAGCAGAGGGCGAAGGGGGGAAGAGGAACCGGAGGGGGAGTGGAGGGGGGGTGGAGGGGGGATGGAGGGGGGGGGGAGGGAGGAATGAACAACCAGGGTATTAAGAACAAGAAGAGAACAATCACGAGAGGGCGACAGCGAGACATTTCGAAGGGGAGGATGAGAAAAGACCAAAACGATAATGAGGAAATTGCAATGAAGGAAGAAACGCCAGTAGAGGACAACATCAATGGACGGCAAAACGATGCACTGAAATAAACCCCCTTGGACCTTTATCCGTTGCAACAGGGGGGGAAAAGTGATGGCCGTACAGGAGAGGAGGGTGGATGGATGGTGTCGATACATAGGGTGGAGGGTTGAACGACTGAGTCATGCCGTATTAACGGGAAGTTGAAGGAAACGAGTATTAATTAACAGAACGGACAGGAGCGTACCAACAGTTAAGTGGCGATGTGAAGCAGGTTGACCCACTGGCGGATGCCAGATTGGAGGAAGACAAGGAGGGCGAAGAGGGAATTAATGTTAGCGATATATTCAAAACGGGATGGGCGTACCAATAAAGAGGATGGCGAGGTTGAGGGGGTTGACCGATTGGGTGATGCCGTATTGGAGGAAGAAGAGCAGCCCGAAGAGCAGGAGGAAGCCCACGCACAGGAAGCGGAGGGTGTTCTGCGGAGCAAACGAGGCAGGCATACAGGGGGGAACGGGAGGGAGGGGGAGAGGGGCGGGGCGAATGGTGGGGTGGGCGGATTACAGAGAGAGAATGGATGAGGAGAGAGAGGAGGGGATTGGAGGAGGAAGAGAGGGAACGGGACAGAGGGCACAGAGAAGGGAGTTGAGGATAGAGACGCGGCGCGGAATGCGCCCCTTAAAAACAGAGTGGTGTACGGTGGTGCTTTGCTCAACTCACGTGCTTTGCAAGGAAGAGCGTGATGAGGAGAGGAATGCAAAGAATGACGGCAATAACGAGGGTGGTCCACTTGTTGATGTCGCGGCGCACCAGCAGCAGTAGAGGGCTATGTCGTGAACACGTCATGGCTTACGTTTTGTGCGAGAAAGAGGGTGATGACGAGAGTGATGCAGAGAATGATGGCGATGACGAGGGTGGCCCACTTGTTGGTGGCGCACAGCACCAGCAGCATGCCCCAGAAGGAGGAGCCCAGGTCTGTTGAGAGGGAGGACATGTGGGGAGATGGCCAGCGGATGAATACCAGGGTGAGAGGCATGCGGTGGGCAACAGTGTGCGCTGCTTGGCACAGAGCACCAGCAGGACGCCCCGAAAGGACGAGTCCAGGTCTGTTAACGAGGAGGACGCATGTGGAGAGACACGGGTGTGAGACAGCAAGTGCATGTGCGCTCAAGGGAAGCAGAAGTAGAATCGTGCAGTCCACCTGTTGGTGGTGCGGAGCACCAGCAGCATGCTGCATGCCCCAGAAAGTCGAGCCCAGGTCTGTCAATGAGGAGGATGCATGCATTGGTATGGGGCGATGGATGTATTGATATGGGGCGTTGCATGTATTGGTATGGGTTGATGCATGTATTCGGTATGGGGTGATGCATGTAGTGGCATGGGGCAATGCATGCAGTGATAAGGGCGATGCATGTAGTGGTATGGGGCGATGCATGTAGTGGTACGGGTGATGCATGTATTGGTATGGGGCGATGCATGTATTGGTATGGGGTCTATCCACCAGGCATGCTGGTGGCGCAGAGGAGAAGTACCATGCCCAGGTCTGTTAAGGGGCAGGGAAAGGGGAACGGGAAGAAGAGTCATGTGACCCATACCACTAGGCATAGAAACGCTAGAATTTCTATGGCTGATTCTCCCCTTGGGGTGGCATTCACCAGGGAGAATGCAGTGCCGGGTCACAGGGAGAACGTGCATTCCCATGCAGAAAAGAGCGATAGCCATCATAAAGCACGGATGCTTCCAGAAGGGGAGGTGCCCCGCTGACATCCGCCTTGAGTGCGGGTCTGAGTACGAGTGAGAGGCAGCAGGGTGAAGGTTGAATGGGCGGAAGCAACGAGTACGAGTGACACCCCTCTAAAGCATGGCTGCCAGCCTCCCACCCTCCCGAACGCATGACTCACATCCCCCAAAACGCATGACTTACATCCCCCCAAACGCATGACTCACATCCCCCCAAACGCATGACTCACATCCCCCCAAACGCATGACTCACATCCCCCCAAACGCATGACTCACATCCCCCCAAACGCATGACTCACATCCCCCCAAACGCATGACTCACATCCCCCAAAACGCATGACTCACATCCGGCGGGCAGAATGCACCACTGCCATCCGCCCCGAGTGCGAGTGACGCCCCCCTCGTCCATGTGCACCTCGATGCCCTCCACCTGCCACCACACGGTTCGTACAGTATGATCCGTTATGGGTTTTAAGGCATTTGCCTCAATGCCCTCCACCCGCGCCATAAAGTATTTATGAGTACAGAGCAGTATGATAGAGCATAATTAGTTCTGCATTGTAAGGCATTTACCTCTATTTGCAACCGTCCCTTGTGCAATATGTGCCATGCACCATGCGCTACCATAACATGCTATGCCAAGGCAGATGCATGCTCATCTCCAAGGGTGGGATGGTATACTTGTTAGTAACTGCTTGAGTATGTATATGTTTGAACCTGCTTACAGACACACCTTGCCTCCCGTCATGACGCATGCCGAGGCATGGCCTATCTCGTGCAGGTACACTGAGATGAGCTTGAAGGGCATCAGGAGAATGGTGCGCCATAGCTGGGGAGGAGGGGGAAGGGGAGGGGGTGGGGAAGGGAAAAGGGGAGGAGGATGAAAAGACCAGCCAATCAGAATGAATGAGTGCGGGTGAGGGTGGATGGCCTATCTCATGCAGGTAGTACACTGAGATGGGATCAGGAGGAGGATGGTGCGCCATACCTGGAACGAGATGGGCAGGGGAAACGAGGGGAGTGGGGAGGACTGAGGAAATGGGGGGGGGGGGTGAGTGGGCGAGAGTGAGGTTGTGTGCCCCATCTTGTGCAAGTATACTGGAGCTTGTAGGGCATCAGGAGAATGGTGCGCCATAGCTGGGAAAGGGTGAGGGGGGGGGTGGGGGGAGGGGCGGACCAGCTCGTGAAGGTGATTGAATGAGTGAGCGGTGAGGACGCACGCGCGCCATCTCGTGCAGTCACGCTGAGTTGAGCTTCAGGATGGTGCGCCATTGGGTATTTTTTAGAATTCTCTCAAATACCCCGCATGCGCACCATCTCGTGCAGTTATGCTGGGTTGAGCTTCAGGAGAATGGAGCCACAGGTTGGAGGGGCGGAATGGAAAAGAGGGGGAGGATGGGGGAAGGCCGGGAAGGAGCGATGGGGACAAAGGAGTAGGGTGCGGAGCTGAGAGAGTGTGAAGGGGGCTTCAATGGGGTTGCATGTTGGTTTGAGAAACGGGGCGTGCGCTTCTTCATCTCGTGTCGGTGCACTGAGATGAGCGTGAGAGCATGGGGGGTGATTTAACTCTACTCAATTCATGTGTGCGGAAGGGGATATTTGTGAAAGAGATGAACGAGCGAACAGGAAGGGAGTCGTTTGACGGCATTAGGAGTGGAGGGAGGGAGCACGATGTGACTAAGTGGGGGGAACGAGGCAGATAGCAAGTCGAATGAGGAAGTTGCGAAAGTAGCCGTTCAATGTACGAGCGCTCCAAACGAATTCACGCATAGAGCGAAATATGAGGTAATGTTCCCAGCGAAGAGCAGCAGGACTGGTTGTCATTTGGCGTTTCGGGTCTGCTTACAGTGAGAATGACCAGCGAATTGGTACTTTGTAATGTGTTGCGTTGTTTGGAGCCGCCTCACGAAACATTCACGGGCCTCAAAACTGTCATGAATGTGCTTACGACGAGGATGACGAGCGCGTAGACACCGGAGCAGGCGAGGAAGATCACTTGCTGCGAGTTGCAACAACCCGCGAGTGTCCAATTCGCCACCATTTCGACTGATCACCACGTCTCGTTAGTTACTCTTGAATGTCAGATGGCCACGACGGTAACCCGATTAACCAGACCACTTCTGTAAGTCGCCAGATGGTAACCCGATTAACAATTTTCGATCTTAGATTCCGCGACGCCTTGGTTACACTACTCGCTCGACGTACTCAGAGGCGTTCAGCGTGAATGCATCTAGTCCTTAAACGTCGTATTCGCCGTCCGTCGTCCGCGTGATGCGTTCTCTTGCATCAGATTACACGCGCCGAGGATAATAAGATGGGTGCGATGAAGCAAAACTGCCAAGGCCGCAGCATGGGATATAAGCGTACTGTAATTCAGGCGACGGACCGCAAACGTGTAAATGTAATGAAGCTGGAATAGTACATCAAACCGCGAGTGAGTGGGGTAATGGAAAGAATGCAGTCGGGATTCTGGCGACTATGGCTGTCGACATCGGTGACAAGGGGATGAGGTCAAATGAGATGGAGGGAGAAACGGAGAGCTCAGGATTGGTTCGTCTCACAGACGCGATCAAACGAGACGAAGAGCTCGAGGTCGCAGATTCAATAAGTCTGGGGGCATGTCACAAAGAGTTGCGTTTCTTCTCAAATTTCAACAAAACGTCATCTGACCATACGTAGAACCGCACGGGTTTCACTAAAGAAAGCTCCTCTGATGTGACACGTCCCGTAAACGGAGGTCTCAAGGCCGGTGAAGTTCATATCGGAGTCGACTGACATCTGGAATGTTGGTTAACAAATTATTGGTGACCAGGTGGCAAAACGTCGTTGGTTCATCGGAGAAACGGCTGAGTGCCTGCCAAATCGATAGCGCAAATCACGCAGGAACTTCCGACATTGGAGATATAGCTCCACCCTCGGGAAACTTGCTGCCGCGGACTGTCCACGAAACTGTTAATACTTTCGTGGACAAGCCCTACTTTCATGGACACCACATCGAAGTTTTGCTTCTCCCGTGGACTCCGTCAATACTTTCGTGGACTCCCGGCTTACTTCCATGGACACACGCATATTCTCAGTTAAAAAGGAGTATACAGAAATATACAAGTGATTACGGGCAAAAAAATCGAAATACTCCAGACTATCTGTCCGACGCAAGTCATCGCGAGCTACAGTGCCGGAAACCAGTTCTGAAACAGAATCTCGGAGCTTTTACGGGAAGAGTTTGTAGCCGCACTAAAATATGCAGTTAATTTTCAAAACATAGTGTATTAGGGTCCGTGCGATAGAAACACTTATGATTCAAATCAGAGCTACTAAACAAAACCATCATATGCACGTGCTTGACGAGCCAGCATCAATCAGCAGTTTTTTCTCCTTCATAATACACTATTTCAATATTAGGAATTCTGTGAATAAAAAGATAGCACCGGAGAAATATATATCTCAGAATCACTTGTATTTATTGGTATTAGTATATTTCTCGTTCAAAAATAGAAAAACATATTCACAAAAGTGTGAATCTAAAATAATTGTATTATTTTATCATCTATTATTATTTAAATATGGATGCAACTTTTAATAATAATAACATCAAGACCTTAAACCTTCCATTTATACAGATATGTTTACGAAAAGTTATTGGTATTCAGAGATTTCACATCTTCATCGAAAATGCAAGCCCAATATTATTTGAAATATTTGGAAATGCCAAAATTTATTGTATTCCCGATTCTTGGAGGGCAGAAATTCCAAACCGTTATCTTGGGACTACTATGATTTTTACTGAGCTAAACTAACCTTGTAACCATAATATCTACCTTAATTCTACAACTTGAATCTTTTGTAGCGAGATTTCGCCTACTCGATCTGCTGCACTTGTCGTTCAACTGAAACCGCTTCGTCTCAGTCATTCAAATGAATTTTGAGGATCACTTTAAAGTTTCTTCAAACACGCGAAACAGCTAGCGGACTTGGTGGCTTGCAATTACTGTAGCTTGCGACTATTTGCGAGGGACTTGATTATACCATAATTTTTTTTTCCTCCCGTCAGCATCTGTACAGCAATGAAGGGTTTTTTTTTTTTTTTTTGGGTTGCGGAGCAACCTATTGCAATCGATCGGGCTGGTTTTTTTTTCAAGTTTGTGAAATAAAAATCAAATGCTTGTTGTGATGGAAATAAAACATTTTATGTATAATAAAGTCTCATCATGAAATGCTCCGCAACCCTAAGACGATCTCGTCGCCTCTTGTTTTTTTTTAATTCGCGTGTGTCCATGGAAGTAAGCCTGGAGTCCACGAAAGTATTGACGGAGTCCACGGGAGAAGCGAAACTTCGATGTGGTGTTCATGAAAGTAGGGCATGTCCACGAAAGTATGAAAAGTTTCGTGGACAGTGCGCCTGAGCAAATTTTCCTCCACCCTCCCAATATTGCTGAGTAGCGCGGAGGGCAATGGCGAAACAGTGATCGGTATTCTACTAAGGGGGGGCGATATTGGGCTCGAGCGGAGCCAAATCCCTAGCCTACGACTCAATGTCGCACTGAAATGCCAAAATTGCTCACACATTTGGAATCTTGTACGACATTGAGCCGCGCTCAAGTGAAAACAGTACCCACAAAGACTTCGCAAAGCAAATACAGCGGGTATTCCGTTAGCTCCAAATCCTCGACTCGCAATTATGGAGTACGACGAATAGTAGCGATACGGAACGGGCAAACTGGAAAATAGAGTAGCACGAGGGATTTTAGGTGGGGAGGAGTAGGCCGTTTTACTCGTTTTGTTCACAATGGGTGCCTTGGCGTATTGGCGACTTGGGCCACGTAACTAGCGATTTCGCCGCTCCCTTTTTCAAGCGTGAATAATCCAGAAAATACAATTGGACAAAGTGCTTTTTATACACTTATTGGAAGCAAACTACATTTAGTTAAATGGAACTTTATCTTTAATCTATGTACAAAATGATATTTTTATTATGCTTTTGTTTTGCATTTTCAAGCTTGGGAAGGGGCTTGATATTTAATTAATGGTTTTTTTCTGGTTTTCTAAGGTAGCGAACGATATAGAGTGTCCAACAAATATGTTTACAATGTATCCGAAATAACCAGTGTATTGCGCGTTAGGAAGGGCTGAAACGAGATGTGCCAAAACGAATTCTGATGTGTATTGCTGGCTGAAACGCGATGTGCCGATGTGTCACCGCAAAAGTATTGAAAACGAGCCACCCACCGTCCAGATCAAAAAACCACGCTAATGTTCATGTCTGAGAACTCCTCGTAGTGCGTCAGATTAGAAAGACGACACTGTCAGAAAACCAGTCACTAACCACTGGGTTAAAAGGGCTTGTTGAATAGCGGGTAAGTGTGCCCATAGCCCCCCAGGCTCTGCACCTGTGGCCCTTCCCCGAGGATCTCAAGGGCAACCCCAGCGGGTCACTCAACAGACACTTCTACGTTGCGAGAACAAATCGTAACCGTACAGATCAGCTGCTCAATTTTGCTGATCTGTCAGCAATTTACCCTAAAAAATTGTGTGGTTTTTTGTTCTGATTGACGGAAAGATGTATCGACTATTCAAAACGCAACACTTAGGCACAAACATGTTTGCTGGGGCACAACAGGTCAGACTGAAGGGTTTGCATTGTTGAACTCCTTGCTACGTGACTAAATTAGCAACATGATGCGTTGTGTGCAAGCCCAATGAACGCAAGGGTGATAACCGGCCGGCTGGGAAGTGCAACGGGAGTCCCATGTTAGTTCCATGGATGTCCAATGGGACTCCCATGGAAGTCCCAAGGGAGTCCCATGGAAGTCCCTTGGAAGTCCCACGGGAGTACTATGGGAGTGTCATGGAAGTCCCATGGGAGTCCCATGGGAGTCCCATGGAAGTCCCATGGGAGTCCCATGGAAGTCCCATGGGAGTCCCATAGGAGTCCCATGGAAGTCCCATGGGAGTCCCTTGGGAGTCCCATGGTCCCATGGGAGTCCCATGGAAGTCCCATGGAAGCCCACCACGAAACACATCAAGGTCCAAAGTGCACCTACACAACTCCCGAGTGGTATGGTTTTGCGGTGGGCTTTCGCGCACTGCGACGGATCTGCCTTGCCGGAGGTGTTGGTGCCCCACCATACTTTCCAAAACATCGGTTCTTGTTGTGGCCGATGAGGTGACATACGCTGCACCTGAGGGCACGCACCGGCCTCTCCAACCGCGCGTGCGACTTTGGGCAGCCTGCTGCAGTGCGTCTGAATGGTGGGGGGTCGCACACCCCCTCATCTACGGACTTCTTTTCAATCACAATGCGTTCCACATAGGAACTGTGCACCACTTCAGAGTAGGTGAGGCGGAGGTTAGCAGTGGTATAGTACTCTGAAACAAGCCGTGCTGGATCACGACCCTTCCTTATCTCGAACACCACGACGTGTGAGCAGGGGATCATGTATTGGTGCCAGTTCCCACAGTCACACATCCGGTGGCCCTCACGGACATCCACCCTGAATGACCTCTAGGCCCCGGATTGTATCGTGCTCTTTGCGCGGATGGTTCCCGTCTCGTCGTCACCTCCAGTCAGCTCATACTGCCGTGCCCAGCTCTCCTTCTGCCGCAATTGCTCCCGTGCCGCTGGTGTGAGCACATCAGTCGACTTTGCTGCCGCCAACTTCCTCTCATCGTGTTTGCGGCCGTGCCAGTCGTAGACGCTGCAAACCAGCGGGGTGAGAGGCAGCTTCCGCATTGCTCGTGAAGACGCCAAACCACCGTGCTACAGACTTGCGCACCGTCCAGTGACCAAGGTTGATCCCCCAGGTGTATTTTGACCCACGGAGATTACGCTTGTAGCCGGTTCGGACTCGTGTGGTGTGGTGTCGTCCCGGCACTGCTCACCCAACACCGCCCCAGGGCATTTCCCACCCAGCTTGGTTGGTGACGTTATCCGGATAATCCTCTTCCTCATCGCCGCATTCGTCCTCCTCCTCATCTGCCCCCTCGACAGGCGCTTCCACTGGCAGGACGGCTCCATTGGTGTCCGACTATGGGTGCTGTAGGGTCACGAGTACGAGCGTGCGGGCGGCGCCCGCCACGGAGGGGGGGTCGTGCACCCCCACTGCAGGTGTCCCAGGCCCCAATCCTTGTGAATCGTCGTCCATGTTAACCAACTGTCCTACGTCTTGCAGGGTAGCTGCACGCCTACACAGTCCAGGATGGTCGGGAGGTCAAAGGGTCTTACGCACTCAAGGGCCACCGAGAGCTGCACAACGGGATCGTTTGGGATGTTTGCGGCTGCTGCACGGGCACGCAACTTGCTGAGTGGGACGTCCTCGATGTCTTCGTCGTTGAAGACATGTGGGCTGGCGCTCCCGGCCACGTCGCCCGTCTCCATCGCCACCGGCCCACAGTCGTTGGCCTCCCCCGCAGTCGGACCAGCCGGCGGATCGGCAGGTGCTCCTCCACGCCCACCCCGACCACCCCTGCCTCTGCCCCCCTT